GCAAGGGTACTAAATCTTCCTTCTATTCAGCATTTACACCGCTCGCTAAAAACATTATCCCAGGAAACAAGGCGTTTTGGTAGTCTGGCATCGAAATTATTCGTCAGAGATATTATGGCTGGATACGTCAGCTACGTTTTAAAGAATTTTGGTAAAAATGTTGCAGTTATTTTTGATGGATACCCAGAAGATGCGGCTATGAAAAACACTAAATCAGCTGAACGTCTGCGGCGATCTTCTTCTCTTTCCTGTGGTGACATTTTGTTTGATGAAGCGACACTCATCAAAGTGCCTCAAGCAAAAGTGCTCTCCTATGCAAACAAACGCCGACTGATCACCATGATGTGTACCGAATTTGAGAGACAGGGTATCGAGGTACATCAATCACCAGAATACGCCGATGCTGAGATAGTGAGAACTGCACTCTCCAAGAGCTCATCGTACGAACAAGTTTTTATCATGGGGGAGGATATTGATTTACTGGTCCTCCTAAATGGCTTGAGCTGTGGACAAACAAACCTCCACATCCAGAAAAGGGGTAGAGGTGGATCTGAGTGCGCTCAATATGAGGCAAATTCTTTTTAAGCGGAAAAATGCAGCTTCCAGGAGAGATGGTCTTGTTTCTGCATGCAATCAGTGGGTGTGACACCACTTCTGCTCTTTTCTGGCAAGGCAAAATGAAGTGGTGCGAATGTCTACAAAAAAAATCCCCACTGGATAGACCTCGCCACCATTTTCTTTGATCCAAACTCGACGCAGGAAAAAGTAGGAAATGCTGGCGAGAACATTTTGTTGAACCTCTATGGAGGGGATCAAGGCACGCTGCACAGCGTGGGGGTCGAGAAAAATCCATTCGACTAGGGATGGACCACCAGTCAACAGGGTCTTATGCCACTAACTATGCGTGCAGAGCCCGCCCCTCAAAACCTGCTTAAGATGGTTGCAAGCAACTGCAAGAATGGCTGCTCCTATGCAGCCAACAGCAGTGCAAGTGCAGGATCCTTCCTGCACTTAAAGCAGGACTGAAGTGCTCCATCCTCTGTTCCTTTTGCCAAGGGCGAAGCTGCAGCAACGTTGCTCCCATCATCTTGGATGAGGAGAACGAGGAATTGAACGATTTAACATATGAGGACCCACCTCCATCGTCAGAGAATGTCCTTCCTCCTCCTCTTCCCCCCTCTCCGACTGATCCGGAATGGATGGGGCCCAGTCCTTCTAAGAGGACCAAGTAAAGTAGGGCTTTTGTGTTATATTTTATAGTTTATACATATTATATTTGTCTTGTTTATTTTTAAATACGTTTAATAGAATATGTTTTTATGATACCCCCCAAACTTCGATGTTTTACTATATTTTGGTTTTTGAGCAAAATACGACGCCTAGCGGCCTCATTCTTACATCAAATTAAAGCTGAATAAATTCTCTACAACTCTATTTCTCATGACTTTTCCCTAGAGCCATTAGTTTAGCCGATACGTGCTTTGGAATGTGACCGTACTCATAAATTTTTTGTTTTTCAAAAAAATTGCCGATCTTTGATTGGTTGTATTTGAACAACGAATTGGCCGGGTTGGGCTTAAATTGTAGGAAATTTAGTTGACTTTATAAAAGTATAGAACAATTAAATTTGAAAAATGCTTTCTTAACACAGTTTTTTCAAAAAAACTGAAATATGTACCAAAATTTTGAGGTTTTTTGAGTATCACGGGAGTAGCACAAGGTTTTGAGGGTTGCAAAATTGGGCATAACTTAGTCTCATGGGTCCTAACAATATATAAAAAAATCGTAGATACAGTCCCGTTTGCAATGTGGGATGTCTTAAATGACTGGCCTATATAGCCAGATTAATATAGGAAATCTGCCATCGCGGCTTTTTTGACCCGCACTCAGGGGATCGATTTCGTGTCGATTCAAAATTATTCACCTAAATTTTTAGCTTTTTAACTGAAAGAGTTTTCGAGATTTTCAAAAAAAAACTGTTTTTCAATTTTATTTTTATTTTCATAGTAAAATTCAAAATTAATTAATGAAGATTTTTTTTTCTAATTCTTAGAAGTCTAAGATATGAGAAAATAATATGATCATGATTCTTAAACGAAAAGCCGATTTCTAGCGGAGGAAAGACTTCATTTTTTAACATTCGTATAAATTATTAAATATATGATTCACTAAAAATCGTCAGAAAATGTCTTTTATACTTCCTTACACTCAGGAATTTTTTAGAATTTTTTAAAGTGGTGGAACAATATGAAAAAATTAAAAACTCATTTTTTACTAAAATCTTCTGAAATTATTATTGCGTTAGTTGCAATTTAATACACACAATGGCATCAACAATGAAGACTAGTTTCTTCTTCTTCTTTTAGAAGGCGTATCGCCTGTTTAGTTCCGGTTTCCTCCTCGTCTAAGCCACTCTTGCGAGGTTGACTGCCAACTGTCTTGCCAACGTTTAGGTGGTCGTCCAGTAGGTCTTCTGCCATGGGGTACGTTGTTGCGAATTATTATGGCCATTCTGTCGGGGCCCATTCTACTGACATGCTGGTTCCATTCTCTTCTTCTCTGCCTTATCCATCTGACAACGTCGTTTGTTTGGCACTTTTCTCTTATGTCTACATTTCTCTGTCTGTCCCTCAACATGTATCCAGTTATCATTCTTAAAGTCTTCATTTCAGTAGTTCGTAGGATTCTCTTTGTTACTGATGTTTCAGCTCTGGTTTCCGCACCATATGTCATCACTGGTCGTATGCAGGTTTTGTATATTCTTGACTTACATTCTGTACTCAAATGTTTGTTTTTCCATATGGGATATTTAAGATGTCCTGATATTGCGGCAGCTTTATTGGCTTGTTTCCTTACTTCTTCTTCCAGGAATCCTGAGCTTGTAATTTTGAATCCGAGGTATTCGAATGACATTATCTGATCAATAGTTTTGTTTTTTATTACCAATTTGCACCGTAGAGGCTCCTTTGTAATGGTCATGCATTTGGTCTTATTTGTGGAAATTTGCATGAAGACTAGTTTATTGTACCTAAATAAGCGAAACTTTAGAGGAATATGATTGCTGGTTACTGAAAATTCCAGTAGATGGCGTTATAATGCGTTATACGTCAGCTTGTCGCGAATTTTTCAAAAACCCAGTCTTTACGTGTAGCAATAGGTTTGTTCCAACCCCAAGTTTTAGAACGGTTCTGGAACCGTTCTGAAATCATTGGAACTAGTCATATCCGCATACGTTAACTCGGCACTGTTTTTGAACGATTCTAGATTGACAATCGGTTGGAACAGTTTCGGAACCGTTTTTAATGGGCGCATCCAGTAAACATCGAGTAAATCGAGTAAATCGGAAATCCAGTAAACGGTATTAACCGGTAAAGACCTACCGATAACTTTTCATTGAACGATCAAGTTACCGGTACGTAAATAAACCGGAAACAAAATACGGTAGGCTCTCAAGTGATCGGTGAATCAACCGGTGAGTTACCATTGGCATTCAATTTAATTTTCTGCCACCGGTGGACTAACTGGTGTGTTTACTGAATGCGCCCAATCTGTTTTATCAAAACACGGGTTAAAATAACTTCACCTTTTGTTTGATGTAAGATGTAAACAAAACAAACCTTAATAATATTCTTCACAGATATTCTTATTAATTGTATAGAACAGCGGAAACTGTAAAAAGTGGTAAATTACTACCTACATTAATAAATAATGGACACAAACCATAATTTGGTAAGTTTCACTTGGTTTACTATTCGTTTTTTTTTTATTCTAAACACTAAAGTTTGATTTTTACGCATCCGTTGTCCGACGATACGTTGATACGATATTAATTTCATTGGTTGTATTTAAAGGCTTCGATTGGTTAACCGTTTCTAACCAACCGAAGTCTTTAAATTTAACCAATAAAATTAATATCGTATCATCGTATCGTCGGACAACGGATGCATGAAATTCAAGCTTAAAACCCATTAAACTCCAAACAAATCCACAAAACAAAACAAGCAAACGCCCCGGCCCAAATGTCAATCAGTTGATAAAATTTACTAACTGCGCATGCCAGTACAAACAGTTCTCACTTACTGGCAAGTATCGAAATTACGGTTCCGAAACCGTTCTAATAACGATCAGAAAATTGGTTGGAACGCAAAGAGAATCGTTCGAGAACGATCCCCATCAAGGTTGGAATGCTTTTAGCCCTATGCGCATGAACGGAACCTTTCCTGAACGGTTCTCAGCGGGTTTGGAACAAACCTAATATGATTGAAAATGTGTAATAAGCAAATCATTGTGAATTTGAAGTAGAAAAAGGGCGCGTAGAAAAAATATATTTTCTATGAACTTTTTTAAACTAAAAAAAATATAAGTTAGTTAAAACAGAAGATTTTAGAAAAAAATTAGTTTTTAATTTTTTTCAGATTGTTCCACCACTTCAAAAATTTCTAAAAAATTCCTGAGTGTAAAGGTTATACTCCTTTACATATTTTCTGACGACTTTTAGCGAGGGACATATTCTACGAAGGTTAAAAAAATGAAGATTTTAATTTTCTTTCCTTCGCAAAAAATCCAAAAAATCGGCTTTTCCTTTAAGAATCAGGATCATAATTATTGGGCGCGTTCAGGGACGGTCAGCGGCTGAGTAAGCGGTTTCCCTAAACGGTCTCTTTTTACACGCAAAAACAGTCAGCCGCTGAGTAAAATACTCAGCGCTCGGTCAGCCGCATTTTTTCATGTCTCAGACTTCTAAGAATTAGAAAAAAAATCATTAATTAATTTTTTTTATTTTACTATAAAAATAAAAATAAAATTGAAAAAACAGTTTTTTTGAAAATCTCGAAAACCGTTTGAGTTAAAGAGCTAAAAATTTAGGTGAATTATTTTGATTCGACACCAAATTGATCCCCTGAGTGCGAGTTAAAAAAGCCTCAGGGGCAGATTTCCCATATTAATCTGGCTATACCCTTTTAATGGAATGCTCAATTTTAGAAGTGCCTAAAACTTACCTGTAGTATAAGGTAAACAGATGCTTTTTCAACCCAATAGTTTCTTGATTTTTACTAGTAAGATTCTGAATCAATCTCTCTAATTGTGGAATGGACATCTGGTTAAAAGGTGTATAAATAGGTTTGTTAGTTTTCAGTGGTACAGGTGTTAAGTCTCCAGAGGTCAATTTGCCTAATAAATCTGATATACAATCAGTCATCTTTTCCCCCAATTTGCTTTCAATCTTTTCCGCATATTCTGTTGATATGCTTAAACCTTGCTCGACTAATTTTTCTAATACTAACGGGATTGTTTGACTAAAGTTCTTACTGTGGTGCACTAACTCAAGGACTAGTGAGCCTAGGACATTACTTTTATCAGGAACTTCAAAAGTTTCATTTAGTTTTGTTATATTTTCCAAATTATCATAAATTGTTCGTAACAAAGAAACATAAGAATCCACATCTCCACTTGTCTGTAGGGCGTTCGTTAAAGGTTTTTTTAATAATTCTGGGTTATAATACGCTCTTACCCCTGCAGCAATTGTGGCTGCTTCAGAAATTTCATGTTTTTGAAGCAAATTAATTATTACACTGCTCACAGACGTGCCAAGCGGTATATTAGCATCTCGTAGAACCTCTAAAATTTCACTACTCTTCATGTTCAGGTTAGGAAGTATATACTCCCTCATAGTTTCAGAACTGGGTAGAAGATCGTAGCTCTGCATGTTCTTTAAAACTTGTAATATACCGTTTCCACTCGAGTCTTTAGCTTTTAATAGAATTAGGGGCCAAAAATAATGTTGTCTAATTTCAAACCCATTTTTGTGTAACTGTTCTAAAAGAGCGTAACTTAGTTCTTCTTTGCCAAGTTCCAAACTAGTTTCTGTTGCTAACAAGAGGCCTTTATCGTACATGTTTTCTTCTTCCAGTTGCTTACAGTAACTCAAAATTGTTTCTATTGGTTTCTCAGCTTTAACAAGCTGCCTGATAAAGAAGTTTCCGATAGGCATTAAAGAACCATTAGGCAGTACACTTCGTGACATTGTTTTCATTACCTCAAATGCAGTACTTTCACATCCTTTATTAATTAATCTTAAGATAAGATTTGAAGCATCCTGATTATAGCCAATATTTTTTTGTACTTTGGCCAATATGTCAGGGACATACTGACTATAACCATTAGTTGCCAATGAATAAACAATATCTAAATAATCCTTGTCTAATAAATAAATATCCCTTACTTCACATTCCGCTAGCAGCTCATTAATTGCTTTTATGTTACCATTCCTTCCATATCCACATAAAAGAGTAGTGTAAGTGTCAGCACTTGGTTCTAGGCCAGCCTGAGCCATAACAGTGAGAATACCATGTGCGGAATCCATGTCACTAAAAAAACAAAACGTATTAAACAAAGATTACTTAATACACCTGGTGTTGTTGATATTAAAATTACCCTGCTTGTGAATGACCAAAAATAAGGGCATTAAAAACATTTTCATTAACAGGCATTTGTTTTTCCCTCATGTATTCTAAAATTTTCGTCGCACCCTCTATATCCCCTTCCTGACAATATCTAGATATTAATCTTTGGTATGTTACTCTATTTGGTTCTATGCCCTTGCTCTCCATGTCACTCAAGAATTCTGTAGGTGAAAACGGGTGCTCGTTTTCTAGATATACTCTCAACAATGCATTGTAATGCGATACATCCATAGGAACGTTTAATCTGTTTAGGGTGCTCCATATTTCTTCGACAAGTTTAGTTCTAACCTCTGGCAACTCTTCGGGAACTAAACTACCGCAACAACGAATCACTAAAAGCGACTGCGAACTGCTGGCCGAACGGGCGTTTTGAATTTCCTCTAAAACATCTTCGATATCTCTGCGAGATACTCTGCCCGATTTTCTCACATCTTGATCCAATGTCCTTAGTCTACGTTCTAAGTTTTGATCGTATTGGGACGAGGTTTGTGTAGCAAGCGTTCTAGAAACGAATTAAATATATTTTTATATTTATTGCGTAATAATTTATACCGGTAAGAATATCGTGATATGCGAGTTATCTTTAACCAGTTAAACTTTACCTAGGAACGGCTCCGCAATAACATTGTGCTGTTGCTGTGTTAATAAAATTTCCGTCAAATTCTCTCGGTGTGTTAACTACTACATTTCTCGCAAAGCCAGCTATATATCGGACAAATTTGGAAGATCTTAAAATCGAAGCCATGCCTATGGCTCTTTTCTGGAATTTTTTAATAACTGAACTTTGACGTAAATGACATATGACATTATTTGTATTGGCCAGAGGTATTGGCCAAGTATTGGCTTTTCAGAATTGCGTCGTGTCGACAGCGACACTGATTGACACTTGAAGCAGGGGGGTGACAGTGAAATAGGAAAATTGGAAACAGTCATTAGTGTCATTCTTGTCATTCTCCTCACGACAAGTATGGCCGCCTAGAAAAGGACAGCATTGTTTTTGTCTAACTATTGTCTAACTTCACAGTTTAGAATTGACAGATTTCAGTTTCAGAGACAACTTCAGATTTGTTCTAGAACAAATTCGAAAATATTCGACGCCATTTTAATTCATTCCGGTTAGTTTCGTTTTGGAAGTTCAATTTAATATTTCGGCTGAAATTTATAAATATAAAGGTAATAAAGTATATAAAACGTAAGTTTGATATCCATGCGGTGAGTAGGAGGGGGCTAATCACTGCGACCTTAGAGATCTATTGTGAGTTCCCATTTAACCAATGCTATTCAAAGCTCTTTGTAGCATCTGTATTGCTGTCCTCCATTTGCGAATTTCAAGTTCCAGAGCTTTACGCCCTGGGTTGCTCAGAACGGTTCTGAACGGAGCTGTGCGAGATAGCCTGGTGCCTCCATATGGCGCGGAACCAATTCTGAACTTTATGACTCAATTGAATGGAGGGAGAGTATCGCGTTCTTGAACAGTTCAAAGCTGCTCAACTGCGTGAAAGGAGGACAGCATATGGTGTATAATTCTGTGAGGGTGCATCACATTATCCTAAAAAACGGATCGGCGGCGGTGTATCGGCGTAACGACCTTGAATCGATTTCCAGCAATTCTATTGGCTGAAAAAATTTATCTGTCAGAAATCTTATCTGTCAAATTCACCTGGCAAAAATTTCAGCCAATAGAATTGCAGGGAAATCGATTCAAATCGTTAAGCAATACGCCATTCCGCTGTTTTTAGGATAGTGTGGATGCACCCTACGTACCAAAACTTGGTAAAAATGGGGTAAATAGAGAGATCACATGACCCCACATTTTTGCACCAAAAATGTACAATCCCACTTAAAAAAGTACAATTTTGACACCATTTATAGTACAAAAATTTTTGCCCTTGTAACAACGCTGTTCAAAGCCCCGGTTCTCTCTTCAAGCCCCCGTTCACAGAACTGCGACTGTCGCCAGCGACACGACAAAAGAACCAATCAGATTTGTACAAAATTCAAACAGCTGTCAATTTTAAATTTAGTACAGCTCCCATTGGTCGTTTGAAGTGTCAATCAGCGTCGCTGTCGACACGACGCAGTTCTGAAAACGGGACTTCTTACCGTTCTCACAAACAGCGACTGTCGCCAGCGACACATCAAAAGAACCAATCAGATTTGTACAAAATTCAAACAGCTGTCAATTTTAAATTTAGTACAGCTCTCATTGGTTGTTTGAAATGTCAAACTGTGCAGCCAGTGACACGACGTAAGAACGGAGCTAAGCCCCGTTCTCGAACTGCGTCGTGTCGCTGGCTACACAGTTTGACATTTCAAACAACCAATGAGAGCTGTACTAAATTTACATGCTCTGCAACAATTTGATACATTTCGAGTTTCCATTGAAGTTTTTATTAGAAAATCTTCAACTTCAAATAACTTATTGATAATGACACAAACTGTGCCCGAGCAGGTCCAAGCTATCACTTTGTATTACAAATTGAATTGTAACTGAAATCGGGTATATAATAAACATTTCAATAAATTATGTTTGAATTTTGTACAAATCTGGTTGGTTCTTTTGTCGTGTCGCTGGCGACAGTCGCAGTTCTGAGAACGGGGCTTAAAGCCCCGTTCTCAGAACTGCGTCGTGTCGACAGCGACACTGATTGACACTTCAAACGACCAATGGGAGCTGTACTAAATTTAAAATTGACAGCTGTTTGAATTTTGTACAAATCTGATTGGTTCTTTTGTCGTGTCGACAGCGACACTGATTGACACTTCAAACGACCAATGGGAGCTGTACTAAATTTAAAATTGACAGCTGTTTGAATTTTGTACAAATCTCATTGGTCCTCTTGACGTGTCGCTGGCGACAGTCGCAGTTCTGAGAACGGGGCTTTAAAGGTACCGAGTGCTTCCATAGCCAGGGATGGGTGTGTAAAAAATTATATAATGGTATTACGTCCAGCTTCTTGGAGTAAATAAAGTATCTCTGGTTTGTAGACGACTGGAAATTTTGTCGTGATGTTCCATGGCAAGAGTGTAGAATCTATTGATACACACTGATCATTTACGCCGGTTTGAGCACAAAACACATACACAAGGAGAAGTGCGAGCGCCTTGCTAAATATTGGAAAGTGAAATTGACGTTTAAATTTGACACTGTTGACAAGTCTACTGCTACTAGCGCCCCCAATATCGCTTGTAGGAACTACGGACTAGATTGTCACGCATGGCGGGAAGTTTAAAAAAATAAAAAATTTTAATTCTTCATTTATTTTTAATTATGACATAGATAAAAACACAAAAAATACACCATTTTTTAAAAATATGTTTAATATCAATATCAAATATACAACAGAAATTAATTTCACCACAATAAATTAATAAAATTAAAAAATAATGTTACAAGTAGATCAAGAGACAAAATTAATTATAACAAAACTGAAAAAAATGGCGTCATAGATGGCTTAGAAATGACGATATATATCATAATTTTGAAAGTAAAATTATATAGGAAATGTCATCGATCATCATTTTGAAGCCAACTGGACGATTATTTCAAACATACAAGCTGAGTTCGTTCATAGTGCTCTGAGAAATCTAGATAAACAAAGAATAATAAATTAAAAGTATTCCAGGGAAAAAGAGAGGAAAAACCTGTATCGTCTCTGATATCTGTCAGGGTTTTGTTGAAAGTGTCATCTTTTTGCTCGAAGTTTTCAGGTCGATTAAAAAGATGACATTTACAACAATACTTTGCCGTAACTTTCACAAATATCAGAGAGAGAGTACAGGTATTGCCTCTCTTTTCCTCTGGGATGCTTTATATCTGTTCTTCTTTGTTTACCTATATTTCTAAGAGCATAATGCCAAACACGACTACAGTATATAATAATTTCAATATCCTAAGTGGAAAGAAAAAAGATCACCTTTCTGTTTTGTACTATGGTCCCTTTCTTCCGATGGCTCATCTCGTTGATATTTAGGAAGGTATCCATAAAATATATATTTTATTATCGGTCCTGGGATGAAAAAATATAAAATTCAATTTCATTTGATGATCCTTTTCTGTCACCTAAATCAGGAGAATGACAATGAGCATGTTAAGATGAAAAAAAACTTATTTATCAACACTTACCTACACGTTAGTCCAAGGAGTTTTATCAAAAACCTATATTTGCCTAAATAATTTATGTATTCAATTTACAAAGCAAACTGCAGCGTGTAAACAAAAGAAATAAAATGGCGACAAGTCAACGTCAACGACCCGACAAGGAGAAAAGTGGTGTTCGAATAACAATTTATGGGTTGCAAAAATTGTTTTGTCTCCTTTCAACGCACACTTTAGAAAGAAAAAAGAGCTGAACAGTTATACTGAAAGAATGTCAAGGTTTTATCTGTCACTCTTGTCAATAATTTATCGGTAAAGAAGATTCCTAGAAAATCGCTTGTAGTCAAGTTTTCAACCATTTCCAGTTCTCCCATAAGAAGTGTCATCCACCTGGGTTTGAGGCTGGATGAGATCGGATATCTCCCGAGTAAGAGTCGATTTAAGCATGATTTAAGTAAGTCACTTGCCAAGTCGACAAACCACCGACGCCACTATGGACGCCACCTTGGACGCCACCTTTGGACGCCACCGACTATAATATCGCCGAGGACCGCGGTTCGAATTCCCCGTAAACAAAGTATGCCACGTCCAGATTAGCTCTAGCTGGAGGCCCTAGCAGCAAAAAGGAGACTTCTTTTTTTTTAAAAAGCTATACGGCCTAAGCTGCCAGGACTATATGGCCGAAACGTATAGTTGTCTGAGTGATCTCATTATCTGGCTCCTTTTATTAATGTGATCTTTGAAAGTGATGGATCATATTCTATGTATGATCTAGGCTGGTGGCTAGGCACAGGTTCTGTACATTAAAAGTTAAGTATATTCTGTGGTCTTAAATTTTAACCTTAGTTATTTCTGTCATTCTCTCATTTTGTGTTGCATTTCAATTTGTTTATAATAATCATAAAATTGAGCTATTTTATTGAAATGTTTATTATATACCCGATTTCAGTTACAATTCGATTTGTATTACAAAGTGATAGCTTGGACCTGCTCGGGCACAGTTTGTGTCATTATCAATAAGTTATTTGAAGTTGAAGATTTTCTAATAAAAACTTCAATGGAAACTCGAAATGTATCAAATTGTTGCAGAGCATGTTTACGCTCTGGTTGCTCTTTAACACCTATCAGTATTGAAGATAGTGATTCAGTAAAATTTAGTGATAAATTAATTTCATGTGTATCGGAAGTTGTAAGTTTTAAGTTATTGTTTGAATGATTATTGATTTTATTAGCTTTTATAATAGAGATAGATTATTTTTTTAGCCATGGGTTAAAATGGAGATAAATTCAGTGATATGCAGTGAGTGCATCAATATGTTGAGAATTAGCTATGATTTTCGAAATACATGTATAACAACTCATGCAACTTTGGAAAAAATTATTAGTGAAGGGAACAGGAATGATGATAGTTCAGCTGTTTTATTTAGTACTAAATATGATTGTACCGACTCATCTTTAATACAAACCATTGATAGTTTACCAGATGAAGATATAACCAATTCAGAATTCCTTCATCTGAAACATTTTCTAGATGATGAGGACAGTGTTAAAAATCCACAAATTCTGTCTAGTGACAGATCAAAAAACAATTTATCAGACTCTGCAACAGGTGAGATATAAAAATTTTAAAACAAGGCTTACTATGACATAAACATTTTGTTTAAAAACAAGTGTTTTAAACATATTCAAAACCATTGCTTGTTTAAAAGTCTGGTTTCTAATTTATTTTCAGAGCGTTTTATTCATGATTATAATCAAACACAAACCATTGAAATTGAAGTTCATGATATTGAAGGAATTATTCTCAGTACGAAGGATGATTCAGACAGCGAACATAACACAGAACTAAATAATGGAGATTATAATATCCAAGTTAATAAGAGTAAGATGGAAGTTATAGATGAAAAAATTAAAATAGAGGAAATAAATGCAATCCATAACATTTGTACAAACAGTTCTGTTGGAGAGTCAGATAGTGAAAAAGAAAGATTTGATATTGATGCAAGCTTAGTTGACTCACTTAGTGCGGACAGTTCTGTTGAAACGACAATAAATCACTTAAAGAAAGAGGTAATTCCTATTTAGACTAGTGATATAAAGAATATTTGTATTTGCATATACAGGGTGTCCTATTAGTGTGAGGAAGTCCAATATACTCATCCTTGTCAAAGTTTTATACAGATCTTTGAATAAGAAGACTAAGGAAGGAGCATAATGCTACTCATGTATTGAAATTTTGTGGATGTGTCAGTCTTTACGGAGCTTATTAGCTTATTTTATGTTATTTATTATTTGTTCTACTACTGATATAAAGGTAGTAAATCTAGATGGAAATTGTGGCAGAACTTAAATTAACAGTGACACTACCGCGATTTATCGAAAAAGACTCTAAAATAGTTGGTTGTGTAGCGTGTGGTAGATCTCGGCAAAAATTGAGTGAAATAATGGAACAACTTTTCGCTAGTAAGTGACTATAAATATAATATACATACGTGTAGTAAACCGATCATTTATGAAATTCACTTAAATTAACTAAATTATATATTTTTCTTGCATTTTAGCTTTTATTTATTACTTGTCAAAGATTAGATGTCAAAGAATTTAGATATGTTAATTTGACTTACCTGCTTCAGTAGCGTATCGAATGTTTATGTTAATAAATACTTATTATAACTTATCTATTTTTATTAGAATTACATATTTTTATAACAATTGTAATAACTACCAACATTTATTCACAACGTAAAATAAAACAACAAATTATTGAGTCTACCCCACTTCTACCCTACATCATAGTTTTACATTTTTTAAATAAAATTAGAACGACACTGACATACCGGAATTTAAGTCAGCCATATTTGAGGCCCATCGCCACAAAATAACACTTGTGTCTAGCCCTAGCAGGCAACTATTAAGTCCGACCAATCACGTTAGAGTTTTTGACAAACACAAATGAATTAACACACTCCACATAACCACGCTAACCAACCTGATTGGTCAAGCTTAATAGTTGACTGCTAGGGCTAGACACTTCTCAAATTAACTACAACAGATGCGAAAGAACACCGAATTACGCGTTCAGGTTTCTGTGACCTTCAGAAAGAGTTCATAGACAATCCGCATTAATGTATAGTTTGGGTTATTATTTCTTTGGGTGAAAATAATCTGCACCAATATGTTATCGAGGCATCCCTATAATGAATACCGAATAAAGAAGAAAACGAACAGGGAATTAACCAAAGACATTTTTTAATGTTTTTGGTTTTGTTCTTTTTAATGTTTTAATGTTTTGTAATTTTGATTCTTGGGCCTGACCAGTTCCTCCATCAGCTCTTCTAGGTCTGTGTCTGTATCCGAAAATTCAGACGCCTCAGATTCTTCGGAAGATTCAAAATCGCTCATTTCTTTTCTTTAATTTTTGAAGAAAAAAAACACAAAATAAATAAATAAATAAACAAAAACAACACACGTTTTGTATGTTAACTTTACCAATTAATGACGTCGGGTCGCAATACGCATGCGCCGGACACTTTACTTGCGAAAGATCCGCGAACAGGTCTGACTGTCAGCTAACAATCAGAACTTTCTGTGCGAACAGCGTACTGTTGGTTGGAAACCAATCAAAAATTTCTGTGCGAACGCGTTTTACCCTATTGCGCATGATAATCTGTTGGAAATATATTTCTTACAGCTGTGAGAACAAACCTAACCACGCTAACCAACCTGATTGGTCAAGCTTAATAGTTGACTGCTAGGGCTAGACACTTCTCAAATTAACTACAACAGATGCGAAAGAACACCGAATTACGCGTTCAGGTTTCTGTGACCTTCAGAAAGAGTTCATAGACAATCCGCATTAATGTATAGTTTGGGTTATTATTTCTTTGGGTGAAAATAATCTGCACCAATATGTTATCGAGGCATATAATCTCACAGTAATTTAATAGATTGCTCGTCATATTATATCACTTCGTAGGAGATTAGGAAAAAAAGATATTTATAGTATAAAAAATTAATTTATTTAACAAAATTTAATTAAAGATGTGACAAAATAGTTACTTTTCTATTGATTCTATCGGACTTTTTTCGATTATATAAATCTTTATTTTTTGTAAACTTTAATGCATAAAATATTTTCAATCTAATAAATAATTTAATGATGTAAATAAGAGGAAATTTCTCACATGGGTGGTCAAATTCTATAGTTTTCATTATATCAAACAGCCTCTGAATGTTTTCTTCAGTGCAAAACTCATCAAAATTTAATATAAATAATTTTTCCATTTCCAGTAAATAAAATGAACAAATTTTTCCACTCTCATGATCAAAGGCTTTTAAATGGGTAAATAATTTCGAGTTATCCAGAGATTCGGATTCTTTTGCAAATTTTAGACAAATATCGCATTGATGTATTTGAAGGCCCTTTTAATTGATGTAGTCAAACATAATTAAAGGCATTTTGAGTTGAAAACATTTCTCAGAGGCTGTTTGATATAATGAAAACTATAGAATTTGACCACCCATGTGAGAAATTTCCTCTTATTTACATCATTAAATGATTTATTAGATTGAAAATATTTGATGTATTAAAGTTTACAAATAAAGATTTATATAGTCGAAAAAAAGTCCGATAGAACCAATAGAAAGGTACTATTTTGTCACATTTTTTAATTAAATTTTGTTAAATAAATTAATTTTTTATACTATAAATATCTTTTTTTCCTTATAAATAAACACATTTGTATCCCATTTTAAATAAGATATACAAATTAACAAAACTTAGAAATAACAGTTCAAAAGTTCAACAAAAATCCTACACCCGTTTTTAAAAAGAAACATATAACCACGCACTATGTCATTCCAACAAGCGAATACGACACAGCATAGGTTTCCGGACTAAACGACTGGTGTATTTACACCACTCAATAGGCGTGTGGGGTTTGCCGAGCGGTTTCCGATGCAGTCGCTTTCTTTCGCATCTGTTATAGGTAATTTGTGCCATCGCGGTGTACCTAAGATTTTTGATATGCTCCTTCCTTAGTCTTCTTATTCAAAGATATAGATGTTGTGCATAGTTTTATAAAGGGGCATATCCTGAAAATGTTTTGTTGTATACAGGGTGTCTCAAAAAAGTTTTAGTTTTTTTTGGGGTTTTTAAATTCTGCATATAGTACATTATTTTTATTTGAAGCACTACTATATTCGTTACATCACTAATTTAGATTAAATATAAATTGAATATTTATATTTTCCTTTTAGAAAAAGCATAAAGTTAAAGTTGTGGCATTTAAACAGAAAAAGAACACAGGTATTCAAGTAAGACCACCTCTGTCTGCTCCTGCTAAATCCAAGAGTAATACCTGTACAATATGCGGAAAGTGTTACCGAAAAAAGGCTAATTTAACGGTGCATATGAGAAGTCACACAGGAGAAAAACCGTTTGAGTGCAAATATTGTGAACGAAGGTAAGTAAGGTTAAGTAGGTAATTGTTTATTTTTTACTACCACATTTTCTACCACACAATGGTATTTATTGGGAAAACTGGAAATCGTCCGATTTTCACCAAAATTGGTATACACCCTATTTCGAGGTCGAAATTACGAATCTGAATTTTTTTTCTTGATTTCTTGAATTCAACATTGAATTTTTCTTTATTTCGGCCCTATAAAGTAATAATTTCACTATATTTTCATTATATTATAGTTTATCTACAAGCCACACTTGATTGAGGATAGAAAAATGTCCAAAATTTTACCGAAAAACGCTTTTCTTAACAAAATAAAAAAGAAAATTGAGACCAGATGGAAGTTTGATACTTCATATATCCTTCTTTCTCTCTCCTATGTAATGAAAGAGACAAATATATTTTAGCCTTAATCTAGAAATACGCTCAATTAGTGTGACGTCATGTAGCGGAAGGTCAAGTGTTGCAAAATCCAAACAAAGCAAGAATATAATGGGATAATCTAATTTTTCTTAATTTTTTATTATATTACTGTGTTCAAAGGATATTTGTATCTTTCTGAGTAAGTAGTATATAAAAGTAGTAAAGTATATAAACGTTTACTATAGGTAAAATTACATAAAAGGATATATATATATATATATATATATATATATATATATATATATATATATATATATATATATATATATATATATATATATATATATATATATATATATATATATATATATATATATATATATATATATATATATATATATATATATATATATATAGGGATAAGTAATATGAGGTTATGTTAAAACAATAAAGAACACGAATTTCCATAGTATTTAGATTATAAAATTTATTAACTATAAAGTGCACTGGTACGGTTTAAAATTAAATGTACTTACTTGGAAAAATACAATTATCCTTTTAATATTATAGTGGGTTAATAATTAATAGTGGGTTAATTCAGGCTTTGTAATGGCTTTGTTTAGATTTTGCAACACTGACCTTCCGACGTCACCACTAATGGAGCGTATTTGAAAATTTACAACGTTGCCATATCTTCTATTTTTTCGGGTGATTAGGGATTTTAAATAAATTACCTATAATAGTTAAATATACCTACCTATAGGCGCAAAGTTACGCGGAAGTTTTGATTGCATTGGTTACAACTTCCATGCGGAAGGTGTTAATCTTTTGTTGTTATATTATATTAAAATAACCCCCTCCACAAAGAAGTTATATAAAGACTAATTTATAACCACGAAGTTGCACCACAGAGTTTTAATTGTATTGGTTTCAACTTCTTTGCGGAGGGGGTTAATCTTTTTTTGATATAACAACAAAATATTAACACCCTCCGCATGGAAGTTGTAATCAATGCAATCAAAACTTTTTCGTGCAACTTCGTGATTATAAATAGTGGTAAAATAGCAGTTATTGGAAGGAGCCGTTCTTCTGGCGACCACCTTTTGTCATCCCAGAATGAGCGAAAAAAAATATGCTAAATTTAGGTTGAGCATTGGCAACGTTCCTTTAAATGTCAGAAACATATAACTCAACATTTTCAGATTGTTTACAAATTTATTCAATGCCTTCTATAAAAGATCAGCCTACAGGCGGACTTTTGTTTACTTCATCAGCTGTACATACTTAGATATTGGGTTAGATTCTGTATTCATATTTTGTCGGTTGATTTTTGGTATTATTTGTTATTGTAGTGGAAAAAACTAATTTTTTTTGGTGTTTAAGTGACATAATGTTTCTCATAAAAAAACACGAAATATTACACGTTTTGTTAAGTGCTTTAACCCAAAAGTGCCCATAGGTACATTTTTTATTTATCGTGATTTTTGTGTGTTTTTTTTAAGACTCTAACAATTAATCAATAAAGCTTAAGTGGAGTGTGTTCTTGGTGCTATGCCTCATCTTTGTTGTGTTCCTGGTGGAAAGGATAGTTATACTAGGCAGCCTAAAGTATCCGGAAGAGCAAGAAAAGTGGGTACTCAGAGTTATAATATCAAGACAATTCTATTGAAAATATCTATAATTAATTTTAAAATAATATTCTCCCAGGATGGTACTAAAGAAAACTGGACAATTATGTTTATTTTATTCATATTGTGGAATCTCCACTCCAAGTGTTGTTGGTTCAGCTTCGATAGATTCAAACACGTAAGGATAAACACATAAGTAGGTATTATGATCTAGGGAAAAATAAAGAATATGTATATTAAAGATCACGAAAAAGATTATTATTTTGAGTTCAAAATTAAAAAAGATTTTTGTTACGACAAGAATGATAAAGTTTAAAAGAAGAATGTGTTTTTGTTTGATAATATAATGTATGTAAAGCATAACATATATTTGTTCAGTAATTTTTACTGAATAGTGTTGATTATTTATAATACCAAATTAATATCAAATATTTAAGTGATGGCTGAATACAATATGAACAAAATAACAATAAAATTGGTATATTTGCAATACAAAATTAAGTTTTAAGAATAAAGGTGTTACTAAAAATGCTAAGAAATTCATATTTCTTTGTTTTAATTGGTCTAATGTTATTTACATTTTATGTAAGAATTAAACCGTATCATCGAAAAAAATCAGCGTCTAGTTGGCTTGGAAATGAACATCGATGACATTCCCTAAATAATTTTACACATAAAATAATTAACTAGAATTTTACAATCTTGGAAAATTTGATATTCTTGAACCTTGTTTCTAAATATTCTAAATTTTTTGAGTTTCTTGGAATTTAGGTTCGGGAAAAACGCTGATTAAGTTTTCATTTGGTTTTTCATTATTTTTATTTAGTTAAAAAAAACGTTTTCGCTAACATTATAGCCTACATCAGTGTTGTGTCATATGAAAAAAATAGTGTCGAATATAATCCAAAAAATTACATATAAAATATTCACACCACGCACCACATAATGTTTACTGCGTACTCCATAGTCAATGTAGATAGTTTTAGTGTTAAGAATAATAATTTTAAAAAATATGTGATTATCTTTTGATAAGTTTATATTAGTTTATTAATTGTAGTAAACATTATGTGGTGTGAATATTTTAAGTATATGTAATATTTTGGATTATATTCGACACTATTTTTTTCATATGACACAACACTGATGAAGGCTATACCTGAGAAAAAAAACAGAGTATAAATTTTGTGAGTGCAAATAATAATACATCACTATTAGTAGATATTGAATGTTTTTTGTTAAATTAGATCGATTTTCAAACCCCAAAATTTAAAATATATTTACATTTTACCCAATATCTTATGTATCTATACATTATTTGTATATTGTAAAACATTTGCTGCATTTGTATGGTTCATAAGTTTATTTGCCAAAGTATTTATTACTATAAATAGGTATATATGTTGTAGTTATTAACTGTATTATGTATATTTCATGTAAACTATATCATTTTTAAAATACAAACCAAAAATCTGAGGAATAATTATGTTTTCCATGTATTCTGCAACGTATTTATTAATCCGTAGTATCTAACTAGCGTGACGTCATAAATCTCGCCGTATGGCTGTTCTATTAGGGACGGCATTGATTTATTTTAGCAAATTTTCCTCTATTATGCATACAATTATTTTAAAAAGTAACAGAAAATAGCAAAAACATCATTGTTTATTGAATACCTAACAAAATATGTGCTAGAAAACCTTAAAAATATGAGAAATTAAGAAAAATTCTATGTTGAGATAATTTTTCGTTTTTCTGAAAAACGGTAAGAGACCGTCAGAAAAAAAGTTCAGATTCGTAATCTACGACCTCAAAATAGGGTGTATACCAATTTTGGTGAAAATCGGACGATTTCCAGTTTTCTCAATAAATACCTTTACGTTTACAATATTTACCAGTAAATTTGTTTGATTTGTTTGATAGGTTTTACCATTCTTCACATTTAAAAGAACACCTACGCAGGCATACCGGCGAAAAGCCGTTTCAGTGTAACGTTTGTGTGAAGAGATTTACTATTAAAGGTGAATTGACGATGCACATGAAATCACATACTGGTGAAAAACCATTTCCGTGCAGTGTTTGTAACAGGAGGTATAGTTTTGTTTTCTTCAATTTTACCTGCTTTACAAGACATTTTTTCAGATGTTTGACATCATCGGATTTGAAAATTCATATGAGAACACATACCGGAGAAAAACCTTACACTTGTGAGACTTGTGGGAGAAAATTTGGCAGTGCCTATATTTTGACTTCTCACATTAAAACTCATACAGGTTTGAAAATTTTTAATTTACATTAAATAACAAGATGAGCTTGAAAATAATAAATGTTTTTTTAAAAACTGTTTCCAACTAAACTAAAAGCTTTGTTTTCGACAGCTAGGGTGTCAAGGTTTTAAGATTTTAACATTGTAAATGTTTATGTTCGTATATGGGGGCCAAATTTCGAGTTTTCTTTCAAGGTCGTCAGCAACTGTGTCGCACTAGCTGCACAGTCGACCAAATAAAGCCCTGTTCTCAGAACGACGTCGTGTCGATCGCGACACAGTTTGACGTTTCAAACAACCAATGGGAGCTGTACTAAATTTAAAATTGACAGCTTTTTGAATTTTGTACAAATGTGATTGGTTCTTTTGATGTGTCGCTGGCGACACTCGCTGTTCTGAGAACGGGGCTTTAAGCATCAAAACTTTGTCGCCTGTTGCCTAATTTAGGTAAACTGGCCTGACAGCACGAAACTCTCGGCGATATACGTGGTTTAATTTTGTTAGTCCCGATATTACTTGACGACTATGCTACGGGGGGCGATTATAAAATGGAATAGATTGATATTGATATTTGCAAAGGTTACAAAACAGTACTATTTTCGTAATTTTTGATTTGGGTTTTGACAATTATTTATGTTGTTTGTAATGAAACGATATTTTTATTTAGGTATTGATATATTTCAGAAAGGATTTAAGGATTAAAATATATAATATATTTACTTAATTTTAAGATATCTGCATGAATATTTAAATAGTTAAACTAACCTAAAATAAAACAAAATAACGTTAACTACCCTCTATTAATTGTTTTTTTAATTATGTTTATTTTTTCTTCTAATCATTATTAGTTATTATTAAGAATGGTGTTTTTTTGATATCAAGTTTAGCTGCAAATATATAACGTTAATTATGTTTTATATTATGTAGTGTTATCATTTCCAATGTTTCTGATGGTTGCAGCGATTGCGAAATCTGTGAGTTTTTTTTCATAATTTCAGGGCCACTCAATTCTCAATGAAAAATATTTTTTCTCAAATTTTCACCAGTGGTGTTCCTACAAAAAAAAAATAAAAACAAATTTTACATACATATTTCAAAAATTCGAGTTTTGAGAAAAACGGTTTCTAAGGTTTTAAGAGCTTGGAAAAGTAATTTATATACCGGGTGCGTTTCAAAAGTGGCTCATCCCTATAACTTTTTTATTTTTTCAGATAAAAAACGGGATTTAGTATGTTAGTACCTATATGACAAGGATTTGGATTGATTGACATATTCAATTGTATTTGGTCACTTCCTGTTTCACCGGAAATGATGACAACTTTTGATTTTTAAATGGCACCCTCTGTATATTTTTACTTTATTCCATAGAAAATGACACTGAATAGAATAACGTATCATATGTCAACTTTTGATATTTTTGCTTAAAAATAAATCGTATTTTAAATTTCAATCTAAATCCTTGGAAAAGTAGATTTGATCGTCTAATGTTTTTCGTGTTTTGTCCTAGCCAGTTAAAATATGTCCAAATCGTATTTTTAATCATATCTCAATTTTTTCAAATGGAACATGGGCAGTTCATTAGCATATTTGGAAAAAGCATTTTTTACGAATAATTTTGTACCACACAATTCTTGATATTTCCAGTCAAAATGTCGTTATGAACCGCTTGTTACAATTTGAAGTTGACATGTCATTACATGTTGACATACGTCATTATATTCAGTGAGTGCTATTTAAAAATCAAAAGTTGTAGTCATTTTCGGTGAAACAGGAAGTGACAGAAAATTTATGCCACAAACTAACATACCAACTTTCTTTTTTTATCTTGAAAAAATAAAATAGTTATAGGGGTGAGCCACTTTTGAGACGCACCCGGTATATGAACTCTTTAGCTTAAAAATAATTGGAAAATCACCCTGCGAAATATCGGCAACTTACTGAGAAACATCTTGTATATTATTTTTTTCTTAGAGGTTAATAAATCTATAGGACAGTGATCAATTTTAGGTGACCGTCCTCATGCTTGTAAAGTGTGTGATAAAACCTTTACACAATCATCACATTTAAATGTACATATGAGGAAACATACAGGTGAAAAGATCACTTGCAAATATTGTGATGCCAGCTTCAATCATTCCTCGCAATTAACTGTTCACATGAGAGAACATACAGGTTTGTAATTAGTAGTTAGTTTAATCGTACAGGGTTTTTTGATGCTCTGTAACTATTGTAGTGTTTTTTTTATTTAGAGCTTTGAATAAGAAGACTAAGGAAGGAGCAGAATGCTATCCATGTATTAATGCATGGTGGGCGGAAAAAAGACTCTAGGGTGGGGATCCTTGACAGTTCTGTTTGACGATTCATTTGACACATTTGAATTTGATTTCAAATTTTGTGGATTTGTCAGTTTTTACGGAGCTTATTTTATGTTATTTATTATTTATTCTACTACAGATAGTTATATAAAGGTAGTAAATCTAGATGGAAATGTGGCAGAACTTAAATTAACAGTGACACTATCGCGATTTATCGAAAAAGACTCTAAAATAGTTGGTTGTGTAGCGTGCGGTAGATCTCGGCAAAATGTGTGAAATAATGGAACAACTTTTCGCTAGTAAGTGACTATACAGACCGGTCCACCGTAGTAGTAACATAGGCAGAACCGGACGAATTAGCGTATACCTGTCCGCCGGATAAAAAGCAGGCGAAAAAATGCGATAAAATAAAAATAAGTAGACATGTGATAAGAATGTTTCAGAATTTGTATTTATTCGTGTTTTAATATCCAAAACGGATACATAGATTCTCGCGACAGTTCTCGTGTAAAATTTATTTTTTAAGTAAAATAATGGATGTTTACGAAGTTCGTGAGAAAATTCAAATTGTAAAATGGTATTTCCAAAATAGGTTTTATCGGGATATACAAACAATTTTTCCACAAACTTTTGTAAATAGGCCAATTCCATCTTTACCTACTGTCAAGAAAAATGGCGTATCCGCCAGAAATTAAAAATGTATTACTGGTTGCCTGCACAACCGCAACGTATCCGCCAGAAATTAAAATACTTTTTCAGGCGCCATCTTTTAGTCAAGTCGAGAAGTAAGGGAATCAGACAATGGAATTGTCTGGTATGAAGAAGTACGCTTTCCGAGAATTGGGGAAATTTCGAGAAGCAGTCAATAGAGTATATAAGCCGGAGCCATCGACAACTGAGACAGTTTTTGAAATTTGAATATACCGCGTTCAAGTAAAAATACGAGAGGCTTTCCAAACTATTAGCCCTAATATGTTAGACAATGTCAGACGGGGATTTTACGACTGCCTAGGCTTCCGTCTAGCACAAGAAGGTGGTCTTTTTGAAGACTTGTTATAACTTTTTTTTATTTAGAGTAATATTTTAGTTTTTTTTTTAATTTTATTGATGTATTTGTTAATTTTGGAAATGAGTTTTGTGTTTAGAGAATTTATTTATTTTTAGTTTTGGCTTGTAAGCACACTCAAATAATAAATATTTAAGTACTTTTATTTTAAATGTTACCTTAAGTGAAGGTAAACACTTAAAATGAAAATAATAAATACTCGGCACTCCTCGCGTCGTATTCCTAGTTTGTCACGACCGACCCGTCCAATCACAACTGCAACTGCGTACCGCCTGACTAGCCGGCAGTGAATCTCGAGTACGACCGCACGTAAATTCGTCCGGCAACTTGCTATGTATTATTATTACTAGTAGCCTGGTCTTCTCTGTATAATATACATACGTGTAGTAAACCGATCATTTATGAAATTCACTTAAATTAACTAATTATATATTTTTTCTTGCATTTTTGCTTTTATTTACTACTTGTCAAAGATTAGATGTCAAAGAATTTAGATACGTCAATTTGACTTATCTGCTTCAGTAGCGTATCGGATGTTTACGGTTATAAATAATGATTATAACTTAACTATTTTTATTAGAATATTATATTTTTATAACAATTTTAATAACTACCAACATTTATTTACAACGTAAAATAAAAAAAAAATTGAGTTTACCCCACGTCTACCCTACATCATAGTATTACATTTTTTAAATAAAATTAGAACGGCACTGACAAACCGGAATTCAAGTCGGCCATATTTGAGGCCCATCGCGGTGGACCTAAGATTTTTGATATGCTCCTTCCTTAGTCTTCTTATTCAAAGATTTAGAGTGATATCTTCCATATGACCAATATATTGATTGCCACTTTAACTCTCAACTGGCGTGGTGAGGTCCAGCGGACCCCAAGCAATATTTAAACCTCTGTAAAATGTTTACGTTTAAGAATTAGGCCTCGCCGCGCCATTTACCTTTAAGTTAGGGTACCAATATGCAACTGTTAAAGGCGCACTTGATTTTATCAAGTATTGTTCTTACCAGCGGGGGCTAAAGTTTCATTGGGGTCTGTGTGGTACCACCACGCCAAGAATGTTTCATATTAAATGGAGGGTAGTCTAAAAAGTGTGCCTCACTGGGACGCTAATTTTGAGGAAGCATGAATTGAGTGGTTTGATGAACTTAAAGAGGCTTAAGTGAGATGAAGACATTGATTTTTCTCCGAAGAGTAACCATAAACCCGATTCTGAATCTCTTACTTATAGAAGAGAGACAATTGAATAACTAATACCAGAAAAGAAAGAGATGTGGTATATGGCAACCATATGTCAATAAAGAAATGACAAAAAACAAAAATCTCAGGAATCATATGTGCATGATCCATATGCGGCAAATGCAGATCCTATTAGCATGAACTGTATTTGAAAAAGTTATGTACATTCAAGATTTGCAGTTTTGTTGAAAATAATTTATGTTTATTACTTTAGATTCACGTTTCAGTTGTTTGTACTTTTAATAATACAGTAAAATCATAAAATATATATATGTTTTTAATTTCTATGGGTTTCTTCTTCTTCTTCTTCTTCTAGTGCGAATCCATTAATGGATTTTTGCGATAACATTTTCCATCGCTTCTCTATTCCTGGCGGTGTTTATTAAAGACTGTACATCGTGTAGGCCTGTCCACTGTCTAACATTCCTCAGCAAAGACATTTTCTTCCTTCCCTCCGGCCTTCGATCTTGCCTTCGATTAACAGATGCAAGAATTAATATTTGGGGTTTCGCATTATGTGCCCCAGGTATGCGTTTTTTTTTCTTAATCAATTCAAACAATTCGTGCTGTTTGTTGACACGTCTCAGAACTTCCTCATTTTTCCTCATTCCTCATTCTGCGATATAGCCCCATCTCGAAAGCCTCTAGTTTATTAATCAGCTGCTTTCAATGTTCCATACCATAAAGGAATCAATGTCCAACCTTCCATACTATATGGCTTGCTTAGCCAATTTATATTTCTGTTGTCAAAAATTCCTAAAAAATGCGTTTTACTTTATTTTTGTGCCCGTTCTTATTAATTTGTTGAAAATGAATGAAATTGTTTGTTCACAAGTTTGAATATATTGTAAACAGTGTTCAAATAACTAGCTTTTTATAAAATCTCTTCATCACGTATTTAAAACAGAAAAAAAATTGGGCAGCAGCACGCCATAAGCGTTACAAAAATTCACCACGCCATGCCAGTTGAGGGTTAATACATTTTCAGTTAAGTGGTTAAATATTACGATGTCTTCAACCTTCTATTTTAGTCATACTACTGAACCGAATTAAATGAATGCGGTATTTATCTGACGCCGGATTTAATCATTTTTATTTGCGTAATAGTGAAATATTCACCAGAAGGCCATTTTTATGAATTATAGTCGAAAATATAAATAAGTCCAAGAATTTTTCCTTTTTTTGACTTAATTTATTTACACTAAGTAACAAACAATAACGATTAAAATACTTAAAGAACTATATACAAACTATTTATCTAGAAAGAATTTATTTTTGAATTTAGCGCGACAACTGTACTCGTCTATTTATTTCTATCCTCTTCAGGCTCCAGCCATCGGTTTATATACCCACAGCTAAAGAGTTCTGGAATAATCCATAGATCATTAGGTGCATAGCGAAGGTTTTGAATGTTCTCGTATGTACTACTCCATTCCAGTGGAACCCGATTGTTCTCGAACGTTCGAATGAATAATTACGGTGTCTATTCTTTAATGCGATATTAAGGTCATATGGGGGCGGGACATATAGTTAGGTTAGGTCGAGGCCACACGGGTCTGCAACAATATATTTCCTTCAGCCTCACACCCGCTTTACCTTACCCCTGAGAGCAACCTGAAGAGTATAGCGTAATAGACTCTTAAGAGGATTAATTAAATTATAATTTTTGTCTTTTTCAGGTAAACAGCCGTACAAATGCGAAATTTGTGACAAGCTGTGCAATTACGCTTCTGGATTACAAACTCACATGTTAAAACATACAGGAAAGAAATTTTCATGCAATACGTGCGAGAAACAATTTACCACTGCCGCTTACTTGGCAGAACACGTACGCTACCATACCGGTAACCACGATAAAACAAAAAGTTATTATTTACTTAATTTATATATTTAGGTGAGAATTTGTTTGCCTGTTTGGTTTGTGAGAGACAGTTTACAAGAAAAACATATTTAGATAAGCACTTGAGAACACACACTGGAGAGAAGCCATATACCTGTTTTGTTTGTGGTAGAAGTTTCAGTCAGTCCTCAAGTTTAAAGGTATTTAGGAAAATAAATCTATTATAGTAAAATATAAACTAAAAAGAAATTTTTATTCCGAATTTATTTTGAGCATATACAGGGCACAACAATAAGACGAAGTTTTTTGCACGAACTTTGTAACACCCTGTAGGGTGCAGCAGCGGTAGTAGCTATTACTAAATTAAATCATATTGTAGCCTCATCTTTTGTGAGCATTTTGTTTTTTTAACGACCACATTATCTCTTTTTATATTGGAAATATGCTGTTTTAAAACGAACGGAATAACGTCTCGGAATAATTCAGAATTCATCTCGGAAAAGGCAGAAAGTTTTATGTGTAAATAATCAAGGCAACATAGGTGAAAAGGGATTTATGAGTATTTGCAGTATGAGAAAAACGGTTGTCAAATTAAAAAATGCCATTATCTGTACCGGATGTTGCTCGTATTGTGGCTTTAATTGCGGATGGCCGAAGTCAACGTTATGTCTCCGATACCCTGGGTATATTTCGAACAACAGTCCAGGATGCCTGGAATCGGTATATAGAAACGGGAAATTTCACCACGCGAGTGGACACTAGATATTAGTCCCTCAAAATTTCTTTACCTTTTTTTGAATTTTCATGTTTTAGTTAGTTTACGTCTACGTTCTGATGTTTGATTTGATTTTAAAGCTTTTTTCGAGGAGTTTGTTTTAAAGCAGCGTATCTCCAATACAAACAGAGGTAATGTCGTGATTAAAAAATCAAAATGCTCACAAAAGATGAGGCTACAATGCGGTGTTACAAAGTTTGGGCAAAAAACTTCGTCTTATTGTTGTACCCTGTATATGCTCAAAATAAATTCGAAATAAAAATTTCTGACGTAGCATCCGTTAAGAAGGAATTAATTTACAATTTAAAAAAAAATCATCAAAATCTAATGAGTGGTTCGCGAGAAATCCAACTTTGAAATTGGGACTAGTTTTTAGTGGCCGGTATTTTTGCCGGTGAGTGTATTATAAGAATATATTATATAATATATAATGAGTGGAAAGGGAAGGCCAAAGAAAAGAAATAGGAATATCAATCTTGCATAAATCTATCCTTTTCGTTCAACAGGATTTTCGTGCGCACGCACCAAATAAAACAATCTGAATCGTCTACTTCATCGCTGTACGCTATCACCTGTCCGCGCACTATTTTAAATTCTAAATATTAATAACGTATAATACATATATTATTTTTTTATTGTTAATGACAACATTTCAACCTGTTATTTTAGATATTCATCATATCTATCCGTTTCTTGTTTTTGTTTAAATATGTCAGAGATTACATTTAAATTTAAGTTTAAGTAAACGCGCGAATAGTCAGACGCTAAATTGATTTATGTGGTACATGGACACTTAGAAAACCACTTCTATTGGTTAGTATTTAGTATGAAATAAATCAACTAATCTTAAAACACTTCTCACGCTTGCGTAGTTCAAAGCTGTTGACCGAAAAGGACCGACTTATGTGGATTTTGTAAAGCTCCATCTCAAAAATTTGGCTTCAGTTTCTATTCCTGACTAGCGATATAGTGTAATATATACAGGGTGTCCCAGAAATAAGTGCAAGTATTTTAACTGATAGTATAGTTCAACCCCAGAAACACGCCTATGAGTTTTTTTTTCACGAAAAAAAATATATTGAAAATTCTAAATTTTTTGGATTTTTTTAAAATTTTTAGTTAAAAAACATAATTTCTTGATAATATGGCAACATAGGTATTAGATTAAATTTACAAGAAAGAAAATCCAGAAAAGATCCGGTGGTTCTCAAAATTTTAACAAAAAATCATTTATTTTGGAAATTTTTAAAGTAAATATTTGAAAAACAATAAAGAGAAAATATGTTTCTTTTATCGAGATCTACCACCCCTTTAAATACTTGCACTTATGTCTGGGACACTTTGTATATATGATTATAGTTCAAGAAAATATGTCTTCAAATCCGAAGTTTTGGTAAAATAAGTTGTGGAGCGTCTAATTTACATAGAAATGATCTCTATACTTTTTTTGCTCAGATCAAAATTAACCGAGATAAGATGGCTAGGGGATGAGTAGAAATTTAAAAAAATATAAGTTTTGCTGAAAAATTCATATATTTAACATTTTTATTCAATTTGCTTGAAAAATTATAAATTTCAATAAGATTTTCTTAAATTCACCCCGACGGTAATAGTCCGGTCGAGGTAGGAAGTCCCGTGCGTTTTATGAGGGGACTTTTTTTTATTGCTGATAGTAATATTTAACATGGTTTTAATTAATTTAAAAATGGGAGTCTCTTAAAAAAACTGTCGTTCGGCTGCCATCTTGAATTTCAGGCTGAAAAGAAAAACTTAAAAATGACTTATCTGCTTAACAAATATATTCTTTTGGGCTTGTAGGTTTAAATTAAAGACTTAAAAATATTTAAGATATATATTTGTGATATTAGGTTAACATACAGAGTGGTTAAAATAATAAAAAACATATTTATTCATTATCTGTGTCGCTGTCTTCCAGTGCTGAATCATCTACATATATTGTGGTGTCAGCTTCTTCCTCCACCTCGTAATCAATGTCGTTGTCTTCTGTCTTGTCTACTAAATCAGTCGCCATTTGTTCTTTCAGCTCATCACTACCTTGGTATAGAAGAAACTCTTGGGCCGCCGCGCCGCGCCGAAGGTAATGCAGGTTGCGTATGCATATGAGGCCTCAATCCTCCATCGTCGGACTTCCATTTAAATTCTGAAGGTGTTAAACGTCTTAACTGCCTTGCATTTTTGTACTCATAGGCCTGTAAGTGACTCCTGAGACAATGCTGTTTAAAGGAATCCATGTCTGGCGGCAAGTTGTGCCGCTCAGTTGTGCCGCTTGGAAAAACGCTCTTATACCCGCTTCAGATGGTGAGGATGCCTGAAATCTTGGATCACATTCGCCAGTTGTTAGGCTATAGCAAATTAGGTCTTTTGTGTAATACCAATCAGCAGTATGATCATATTTGACCCATTCTTTTAAAATAAATTTTCTCAGTCTCCGTTTATTTTCCGGTTTTGAAGGAAAAGAACGCCATGATTTACCTGTAGGCATTTTCTGGTCAGCCACAGGATATATATTTAGAACAAATCCGTACGATTGCATTCGGCGTCTCTGCCTCTTGGTGCTTCACGCTGTCCATTAACACGTTCTCATCGTATATATCATTAATCAGATGGAAGGCTACGGCTTGAGGATGGCGATTTTGCTAATATTTATAAAGATTTACGGCGAACTCCAAGTCGTAGAAGCTGGTGCTTTATTCCATGCCATTCAAATATCGACTATGACATGGTATTGCGGTGGTGGTAACACAGGCTTAAGATTTAATATTTATATACTCTTACCACCAGAGTACCCCATAGATGTAAAAAAAAATTAAATCGAATTTTAGAGTAGAAAATGAGGGAATTTTAATGTTGTTTCTTCGTAATGGTGTTTAATAATTTGTTTACATGATGAAATATATATTTAAGAGAGTTATTAAAAAGCAAAAATAATTTTTTTTTATTTATGATGGTTATTATTAATATGTTTTTTAGCTTCATACGATATTATTCCGTAATAAGCATTATAAACTACCAATTTTTTAATCTACCTAAAGAAGCCTAGCGAAAACATAAAAAAAAATATTTTTTTTTAAATTTTTTTGGTATAAATCAATATGGCGGCCAAACGACGCCATTTTGGAAGAGACTCTCATTTTAAATTTGATCTTAAACACTTAATGAACTAATCAGAACAATAAAAAAAGGTCCCCTATTAAAAACGCACGGGATATGACATGTCGACCGGACTATAAGGACTTTGAAACAAATGTTTCAATAAAAGTTATCCCCTAGCTTCTAGCCACCCTATCTCGGTTAATTTTGATTTGAGCAAAAAAAGTATAGAGACATTTTTTACGTAAAATTAAACGCTCTACAACTCTTATTTGAACTTTTTTTTTAGTCCTTACCGTTTCTTAGAAATTTCGAAAAAATAATTTTATTTATTTGAATTTAAAAAAATCGTCCACAGTTCGTTTTTAGATCTTTCAAAGTAACTTATATCAAAAATTCAAGTTTTTCCTATAACCATAGATAAAGGAAATAAATTTAGATTGGAAAGCCCGTCAAAATATATAATTGTTTTGGGTCGCGACCGTTGTACGCGATCTGGCGCTGCTATAGCGGTTGCTTAGAACAACCGCCCAAACAATAATAGAAATAATTTTCTCTTGTCAAAGTCAGAATCTTCAAAAAATATAAAATCTTTCAAAATTTAAACCGCCCTCATTGAAAAAATACCGAAAAGTGTTTAAACCGTCGATTTTCAAAGTAATTATTGCTATCTTGTGAATTTAATTTAAATTTTACTAACTCAAACCCGTGATAATTGGGAAAAAGTGGCATTAAAAACTAAAAAACTGTGTTGTGAACTGGGAACTGCAAAAACCATCGTAGATCGTGGCATAACTTGGGTTTCCAATGTTTCATAGGTATTTCATACATGTCCTTATATAAAATAAAGTTTCTTGTGTATGGGACATCCTGTATTTTATTTATAAAATTAAAAGAAAATAATAACAAATTTGAATAAATAATATTTGGCGACATAATTCCGGAAAAAACCGAACCGATCCGAAATTATCAAAAGCTTTGGGTCGCGACCGTTGTAAGAATAGCGCCAAATAGTGTTTACATTGTCCCTTATGAGCACTTTCCAATCTAAACTTGTTTTATTTATCTATGCCTAAAACTTAGGTCTATTTTTTTGTACTAATTATTGGGTTTCACAAATAATGATTTTAGGTACACACAAAAGTCCATAATGAAGATAGACCACATGCCTGTGATATTTGCGAGAAAAAATTTAAGACTTCTACAGATTTGTCGGATCATTTAAGCAAGCATATAAAATATATAAATTTATAGATATAAGTGAAAATCAATGTAAAATAGTTTTGTTTGAACAAAGATTTTTAATCCTTATTGACTTCCTTTTTGCTGAATACTGAATATATTTAATGCAATATAAATCTTGCAGAAATGTACCTAATACAAGTATCATCTAGACCCTTAAATGTTTTGCCTTTAAACGAATTAGAACATAAAGAAAGAGAAGAACTTAAAGATTATTAAGAAAGGGAGAGTTTTACAAATCTAAGATTTGTCAGCATTCATGGGACACAGGGCACAGAATAAATTTTAACAACGGTAAAATTATAATGAAAGAAACGATAGCTTTTAAAAAAAATAAAAGAGGCTTTTTATAATACAATCTAATAAAAATAAATGTATTGCTCATGCACCTGTTAGTAATGTATTGCAATCGCTCCTTTGATTTTAAAGAACATAACATAAATAAACCTAACATACGTAAAAATTAAAAACAAATTAAAAATAATCATACAGAATGTTTGAGGCTTTTTGGTGTTACCTTATTAAGTAATTGTTATCAGGTAGTAATTGTTAATTTGAAGTTTAACTTTTTGGTTTAACTTGATATAATGCCATTTTACCAGAACCAGAGAGAACACTAATAACTAAAGGGAGAGGGCTTGTGGAATAGGGCATTTCGTAGACAAGTTTATTTTGTCACCGCGCATCCCAGACGCGCACAGCGTTTAGGCGGCCAAAAAAGGAAGTTTTCAACTTTGCAAGTTAAACATTTGACAGGATTAATTAGACTGTCAGTAGCTTTTTCTATTTCTTAGCTCTAGAAGGAGATAACTAAAATCTGTTGATAATCGGAGTAATAAATTGTTTTTAACTGAATGTACCTGTTTTTTTAGCTTGTGAGAAGAGAAGATTATTGTCATATGATTGTCATGATTGATTATTTGAGATTCCACGATTATTCGGCATTTTTGTAATTTTTGTTTTGTGGTTGAGATCCAGACAAAACGTTTCCTTTAAAGGTAAGTTTTATCTTGGTAATTATTTTAAAATACCTAATAGTAACAACGCAACGGATATCGGCAGCCAGACGGGCTGCATGCTGTTCCAGAGAGCATAGTAAAAGATATATCAAAGAGCCAGACGTCTTAAAATACTTTCTCGAAAACTTTGCTAGCTCTTAGACTATATTATGTGCACTCAATATAGTCTAACAGGTAGCAAAATTTTCGAGAAAGTATTTTAAGACGTCTGGCTCTTTGATATATCTTTTACTATGCTCTCTGGAACAGCATGCAGCCCGTCTGGCTGCCGATACCCGTTGCGTTCACTACTGCGCATCGGAAGAAGATCCTATATATATATTTTTAATTTAGTCTTATAAATTCTAGTATTGAATATAAATCGAACATGTCTCTATAGCGCAGTGCGTAGAGTTTCCGACGATTCAGAGTTCGAATCTGGATTAGGGCAAATATTTTTTTATTTTATTTTCGTATATATTCTGATAGTAAAGTATTAAATAATTCTGGTGATTCAAAAAAAACAAATAGTTAATACTTTACTATCAGAATATAAACGAAAATAAAATAAAAAAGTTTTTGTCCTGACCCGGATTCGAACTCTGACTCCTCGGTTCGTGGTCTGAAACTCTACGCATTGAGTTATGGAAACTCCGTCGGTTTATATTCCATACTATAATTTAAATGACTAATAAAATATAGGATCTTCTTTCAATGCGCAGTAGGGAACGCAACGTTTACCGGCAGCCAGACGGGCCGCATGCTGTTCTAGAGAGCATAGTAAAAGATATATCAAAGAGCCAGACGTCTTAATAATACGTTGCTAGCTCTCGTACTAATAGTCGTACATTGCTAATTTACATAGGTAAGCATAATCTATGGGCTAAATCCGATTGTAAAAGTAAAACATCACATTCTTTTCTGATACCTATGGAACGACTAGGTATTATACCTGGTATTATTACCAGTAATACAAATTATTTTTTCAACTGATTTTTTTTGACATTTCAACTGACAGTTTCTTGTTATAGAATAAAGACTATCAAAAACATTGAATACCTACGGGACACCTACTGATACTCTGTGCGAGCTCCCAACCGTGCTTCCCTGTTTACTCCCAACCAAGTTAGATAAAAAAGATATTGAAGATTGCAGCCTTGAGCTGGAGTATGGCAAGGAGTATGGGCTCCACTACGACATGTACAGAAACGGATTACCTAAACTGGTAAGCATGTAAAATTAAACCTTAATGAAAAATTGAACTTATTTATTTTTAGTTCAAGAAAAGGCATGACAATCCACAACCCACCAAAGACCTGGTAAATGAATTCTGCAAAAACTGAAAACCAAACTAAGTTAAATAAATTATTATGTTCCTACACAGTATTTTATTTATAGGTTTTAATGCTTTAAAGTCTATTAATAAATTTTCGTTGTCAACAAAATAATCTAAAAAAACTACGAAGATTTCTTATTATAAACTTGAAAGATTAAGATGTGGTTCCTAATAAAGAAATTTTAAATTTTTGGCGCCAGTATATAGGTATGAATGCAACCTACTATATCGATAATGTGCTCATAGTTCGGGTTAGACGCCAAAGGCCGCGCCACTAACACAGTCTTCAAAAATTAACGTTGATCGGTCTCTCTCACTTTAGTTATTAATGTTCTCTCTGACCAGAACGCCAACGGCTTTTGTAGACGTATCTGTTTAAAAAAAAACTAAAGTGTTCTCGAATAGTTAATCATCATTTAATCCATATACATATCAAATATATACTGATTATCGTCTATCCCTGCAATGTGTTGGATTTGAAGCCGAGTTAGAGACAACTAGATAACCGGTTCATGTATATTTCACATAAGTTCGTCTGGTAGGCAGACACTGGCGCAATAGCGCAACTCCAAAATTCCGGATATCGGTTAGCCCTTACTGTGAGGATTAGCCAATTGTCGAACGGGAACGCAAACGAAAACCGTACGAAGTTGGACGAAACCGTACGAATGAACAGCTGGTGCTAGCGTCTAGTCTCTTATTGGTCTGGTGATCCGATCGATAATTCTAAATCCAGGCTTGCGCACTACGCTTGAGCACAGCTAACTGAGCGACTTATGCAAATTCCTTCAGAAGATTTATATACCCATTTCACCGGCTTGGCTTCACAGAATGCAGTTTGGAGTCGATGTACTTTAGTTAATATATATATGATTTAATCATTTAAATATATTTTTTTTTCTTTATTCTTTGTATTTTTTTTGCTTCCGACGACGGAAAGAGATTGTTTTTCCTTAAACCTAACTGTTGACAAGTAGTTTTCAAAAAATAACTATTTTATTTTGTAGATTTTCTTACAATGGCGAAATACCCATATAGGATTTTTTTGGAGAAGTATAGAACGTTCAACCATCGTTCAACGTGACGTCATTTATTGTAGAACTCTCTCAATCACTTCCCAACCAGATGAAAGAGATTGGTGAAGTCATTACGGCATTTTGTACATTTCTGCATATTCTTTTTAGTAATTGTCTATTTGCCATTTGATTTGGGTTGTAAATTTATTTGACGGAAATCGATCAATGTCAAAATTAAAAATCTATTGTTGCTATAAAACAAAATTCAAATTTTTTATTGCAAAAATGCCTCAAAGGTTTAACCAAAATGAACAAGAGGTCACTGCCAAGCTTATAAATTATGTTTCTCTAGAAAAAGACGCTGCTAGAACAATCTTGCCCGTGGACGCCGTATATGAAGTAAGTACAATGCAAAAGTGTAATATTCCTATGTAAAATACAAACTGATATCTTTTTTCAATAATATACATAGCGAGTTGCTGATGCTTTAGAAATAGGAACTTCGACAGTCCAAAGGATTAGGATTAAAGGGATCGTTAGAGGGACGGATTTTAATTTATCCGGATTAGTTAAAAATGTAAAAGCTTTATTTTCGTGGAAATTAAGCATCAATTTAATGGATTAAGTTCCTTTATAAATGAATTTTAATGGACGGAAAGAGGCCGTAATTTTCAGTATCTTTTTCTAAATATAGACACCGCTTTTGTTTTTTCAATTACATATAAAAAAATTCATAAACAATGAGTTGGTGTTAACGTTATACAGTAGGGTGAGCCAAAAAAACTAACCTATGGAATTTATGGGTTAAAATGAACCTAATAATAACCGAGAAAAAATATCCCCGGAATGCAGGATTTTTAGCTCAATTTTAAAAGGTGTCGGTGAACATTCAAAGTCCATTTAAATAACACGTAAAAAATTTTTTTTTCCACTAAAAGTATCATAACTTTGAAATGGTTTACGATAAAAAAAATTACATCGCAGATTTTTGTAGAGCATAAAATTTCCTAAAAAATCTATCTGAGAGTAATTTTTTTCAATTCAATAATTCGTATATTTGAAAGCTTTGAAAAGTGAAAAAAAAATCAAAATATGCAGTTTTAGTGTTTATTGATTAAAAATTTTCATATTTAGCAGAAAAAACTAGATTACTCTCAGATAGATTTTTTAGTAAATTTTATGCTCTACAAGAATCAGCGATGAAAAAAAATTCCTAAACCGTTTCAAAGTTATGGTACTTTTAATGGAAAAATATTTTTTTACGTGTTATTTAAATGGA